TGGCAAAAGCCAAGAACAATGCCAAGAGACTGATGTTCAGTAGCTGTCAGTTTGGAAAAGGAGAAAGGAAAACTGTTCATGACATTTTGTCTTGGAATTAAACTTATGAGGTACATCAGGCAATATAAGAGTCACAGGCAGTATTGTACTTTACACATCCATGCATATATTGTGTTAAAAAATTCATCCATTCACTCTACTCACTATTCACTACAAAGTGCCGCTGTCACACTAGTCTTTGAAAAGCATTGAATTTTTTGATCATAAATACCTAGTATAATGAATTCAAAATGTGAAAATATACCAACGACTTCACTTTCTTAAAACACTGCAAGTTTATGTCTCACCAAACAAATTATGTGTCAGAGTTCATCGAACTTCATAAAACAAACAAAAAAAAATCATGGAACGCAGAGCTTCTCTACAAGTGTTTGGCCTTCTGGTCTCCCACATTTGCATGAATCAAAGTCTAAAAACAGCAAATGATTTCAGACACAGATACAACAAATAAGCAACACTGATTCTTGAAAATCATACCTCTACCTACATTTTTGCAAAACTCCAAACCATACCTATGCATACAATTCACTGCAGATTCAGCTGAAATTAACGGCAGTAAAACGCCAGTAACTTTTATTACTGTTCAGACATATGAAGTTTACAGGGGTAATTATAAATTAATACTTATTTTTGTGCTGCTCTTTGAACAATACTATGTTATGACCTCAGAACACTTTTGCCACAGTGCATATTCATTTTGAGGTCTGCATCAAATAACCAGCTCCATATGTATGACTTTTGAAAAAATAAACTTGCTCTGTAGCACACCTGGTACAGCATTGCACTTGTGATATGGAGCACTCGGGTATGAGTCACATGAAACACAAGTCACAATAAAATAGATCAAACACTTGTAGAAGCAAGCTAAAATGGCATGGTTACTTCAGCAGATGTGATTTTATCTCACGTTTGCTTTTGTTAACACTGTCGGTTAGGTTTATCGTAAGATTTAGTGTTGGTGGCACATTATTTTCAAACGTGACAGAGCATTAACCTTTCAGCACCACTGACCTGACATTTCATTTCCAAACTGCCACAATAAGTAACTTAATAAAACATTACCAGATTCACGTTCATCTGTTTTGCATAAAACTGATTATGCTTTTAGCACCGACATTTCACATTAAAAATGTTGCAAAACATATAAGAAAAAAAATGAAATGTCGCCACAATCATGTTTTTCAAATGAACCTGGGTTGGATATAAATTGAGTGAAATGCATATGGTGTTGCACACCAAATTATGAAAATCATTTTCAAAAGCTGATTTTAATTGGATTTCAAATCATATATGTACATGGTTTTGGATTAGGTAATTGGATTTCATGTGAATTTTAGCTGCTGCTACAAACTAGTAAATGAACTAAACATATAAACTATACCTCATTGCACTACCAAAATATTTTGTAAAGCAAAATACTAGGAAAATATTTGCTACAGGCCAGACTTGATCATTTTTAAATTTGACAGTATAATTAAAGTTAGTACAGAAGTTCAATGCTAAGATAATAGACATACATTGGAATGAATGGAATTATAGAAAAATCAATAGCAAATTAATTCGGACACATATGCTATATAAACTACACTGATTCTTGAAAAATGTGCCTCTACCTACATTTTTGCAAAACTCTTATGCATACCGTTCAATGCAATTTCCAGCTGAAATTAACACTTTAGGCATGCAGTAAAACACGTACCTTACTGCACATTTTCAAAGATGAACTGTTCAGTAAGTGTCAGGGGTCCGGGCCCTGTGTTTCTCCATCTCACCACCAGAGGTCGCCATCTCCCTTCCTCCCGGACTCCATTCCCCAGACGCCACTCACCTGTCACTCATTACACCCTCAGCTGTTCCCCATTGTCACAGACTATATATTCTCCTCTCACTCACCACTCTGCCTGGCTGAATTAATTGTATTGTAATTGTATTTGTCATAGTTGGTTGATGCAAGCACGTTGTACGAAATTGTATCCCATTCATGATCCTTTTTTGTAGATCCGCTCTGATCTGTTTTTGTTTCTTTTTGTCTGCCTTTCTGTTTATTAAATCTAGTTTCACCTGCATTTGGACCCAGACCCTGTTTTTCCACGGTGCTCCCTTACCGCACCGTGACAGAATTCAGCCAGCAGACCATGCAGGATCCAGCAGGGAAACTCTTCAACATCTGTCAGTGAGACCAGAGTATTGAGGAGTACGCCAGGGACTTCTTTGGAGTGGCTCATCGGTCGGCGATGGAGAAGACCTGCCTCATGGTCGTCTTCTGGGGAGGCCTGGCCGAGCCCTTCAAGTCCCTGATGCCATACTGGGTCCCCGATGAGTCGCTGGAGGACTACATTAACCTGGCTCTGCATTTGAGCGGCTCAACCTTCAGGGTGGAGCTAGCTGCGGAGCCCGCTCACAGTTCTCCCGAAGCGGCAATCCAAAGGCCGTCAGAGGCCTCGTCTGCCGCACCCAGTACCTCACGCCCGTTCCCGGAGTGTCCCGGGCTGATACGCAGCGTGCAGGAACCCCCGCTGATGTCGGTGCGAGCGGTGTGGTCTACTCGCAAAGCCCCTGAGGTGGCGGTGCCCGCTCATGATCCTCCCGAGGTGGCGGTGCCCGCTCACAATGCTCCCGAGGCGGCGGTGCCCGCTGATGTTCCCTTCGAGGCGGCGGAGCTCATTTCAGGCCTTCCCAAAGCAAAGGAGACCGCTAGTACTATTGCCGAGGTGGCGGATCTCGCTTCAGGCCTTCCCGAAGCAGTGAAGCCTGCTGATGTTCCCTCCGAGGTGGCAGAGCTCGCTTCAGGCCTTCCTGAAGCGGCGGAGCCCGCTGATGTTTCCGTCGAGGTGGCGGAACTCGCTTCAGGACTTCCCGAAGCAGCAGAGCCCGCTGATGTTCCCTCCGAGGCTGCAGAGCTCGCTTCAGACCTTCCCGAAGCAGCGGAGCCCGCTAGTACTCTCTCCGAGGCGGCAAGCTCGCTTCAGGCCTTCCCGAAGCAGCAGATACCACTGATGTTCCCTTCGAGGCGGCGGAGCTCGTTTCAGGCCTTCCCGAAGCAGCGGAGCCCGCTAGTACTCTCTCCGAGGCGGCAGAGCTCGTTTCTGGCCTTCCCGAAGCGGCGGAGCCTGCTGATGTTCCCTCCGAGGCGACGGGGCTCATTTAAAAAGCTCCCGAGGTGGCGGTTCCTGCTCACAAAGCTCCCGAGGTGGCGGTTCTCGCTCACAAGGTTCCAGAAGCAGCGGAGCCCGCTGATATTCCCTCCGAGGCGGCGGGGCTCGCTTCTGGTGTTCCCCAAAGCGGCAGTGCTCGCCTCTGGGCTTCCCGAAGCGGTGTAGCCCACCATTGCCCGTTCCAAGGCGGCAGCTCCACGCACACGGTCCTGGACCTTACCGCACAGTGTCAGTAAGTGGCACTAAAACATGTGGCCACATTTTCATTCCATTGGTACAGGCACGTATTGTGGTGGTTCAGGATTCAAATGTCTGGGGAGTGTCGCTAAAAGGCTAATGCTCTATCGTCTTGGAAAATAGCAAACATCCTACACCAAACCCAACCCTAAATCTACCAGAGAGTGTTTATGAAAGCAAAAGTGATATGAAAACACAATCGTTGATGCAACTGTTATTAGAATGTCTAAAGTGGACTATCGAAATAAAGTGTAACCCTATTTTTACTTGCTTATACACGGGTCAAACTGTAGTTTCACAGGATTCATACTGAAGTGCTTCACCTCGCAAGTGCAACGCTGTATAGGTGGGCTACTGAGCAAACCTACTGCGTTAGAAAATCCATATATGAAGCTCTATATGTGACGCTAACATTCAAAAGTACCAGTTTTCAAATCTAGCAGCATATTAGAATTGTTTTGAATCATAACATAAAATAGTGAAAGGAATTGTGCAAAAATAAGCCTTGCTTAATCAAAACTTTGGCCCTGTAAATCATACTTTGTGTAAAAAGGAATAAAAATTGTCAGTTTTATTGCCTCTAGTGTTCATTTCAAATGGAAACTGCAGTGATTTGTACATATAGGCATGTTTTTTCTTTTTGAGTTTTACAGATTAACTGTACCTCCCAGCACTACCAAAATATTTTGTGAAGCAAAAATAGTAGCACATGTAGTATAACTGAAGTATATTTGCCAGTATATTTGAAGAGAGTACAGAAGTTCAATGCTAAGCTAACAGTTAAATGCGAACCTGCTCTCATATTAGCACCAGACACTGTAATCAGCTGAATTCTGTTTTAAAATTAGATCCTACAATAAGCTTGTCAAGACATTCTATTTTTTTTCTCCAACACACATTGTAATTGTTAACAACCTAGTGATTAGCATCTCTCCTGCGCGCTAATGTGTTTCCCAAAGGGAAATTATGGGCTTCCTAATGTGGCCATCTCAGGTTGCGTCCTCTTCCATCTGTGGTGACAATGATGCAGAAATGAAAAAACTGAAACAGTGACATCATCACCATCATCATCATAATCATACGAGAAAGAGGATTCCTTTTTTTAACAGGATCGATTTTTCCCCTCGATTGGATATGAGGCATGGTTTTGACATTTACAGTGAGAGCAGAATAGGATGGCAGATGATACAGATGAAATAAGAGGAATACAGATTAGTATTCCAGAGGGAGCAGGGGCCAGTAGCAATCAAGAATCCTGAATCCGGTATCTGGCTCCATGTTTTGCCGTGTGCCAGTGGAGTCCGTGGAAGATGCCGAGATCGCTGCAGAGGAGCTCTAAACGCACAGCTTAACACCAGCGCTGGGGAGATCGGCTCTCCTCTCCTCTCCACTCCTCCGCTCTTGGGGAGGCGACGGGAAAGAGAGACAGCAGAGAGAGAGAGAGGGGGAACAACGGAAAAACGGGAAAAGACAGAGAGTAGCTGTTTTTTTGTTTTTTTTTACAGGCTGCTTGGACTATCAGCCCGTGTATGTGTGTGTGAATTTTCCTGACTCTCTCTCTCTCTGATAACTGTCTTCTGGTTTTCTGGGATGGTTTGAAGAAGACTTGTATGTGATGCTTCCTGCACAGAGGTAAGTCCAATCAAAACAAGTCGGTATCCCTGAAGAACCAGTTGCTCTGAGAAATGAATGAACATGTGCTGAGGAGTTGGTGCTGTGCTTGGGACATAATCCAGAACGTAATTTTTCAGTTTGACGTGTAAACTGCTGTAGGTCTGTATCTCGTGTGTGCGTTTCTACGCATGCAGGATTTAGGTACAGGTGTCCGTGACATGATCTTCTAATTCAATGGAATCATTAACATCTGCTCAAGTGTGGCGGGCACAGGTTGTACCTCTATTTTCAAACCGGAGAGGCCAGGAACGTTGCCTAGCAATATTACAACCATCTCCATTTGGAGAGATGTGATTTTATGCTCTGCTGCCTGACGGTGGGGCATCCTTTACACGAGGACATGCCAGAAGCCACACGGAGCACATTGAGTACCCGTGCATTTGCGTGTGGCACGGTAGGAGGCGGACTTGAGGTTGTCTACGGTCCTCAGTCCAGGCTTGCCGGTACGCGAAGCTGTGTGGAACGCTGTCGCTGGGGTTCGCTGATGAAGATTCATGGTTTCTCGCTCTGTCGTTCTGCCTTGGCCGCTCTGTTACACACTGAGCTAAACGTCTGCTGCGTCTGCAGCTCACTCGAAACTCTCCACACTGCAGGGGCCGAGCATCTTGACAGCCATCAGCACCTCTCACACACGTGTGTGTGTGTGTTAGACTGTGTGTGATAGTGTGAATGAGATTATGTGTCCAAGTGAGCAAGACTGGGTAAATATTGCCGCTCTACCTCTGTTATTGTGTAACTCGCAGGAGAAGCTTCTGTAGATCGAAGACTCTGTGTGTGTTGCGATGGACCTGTGCTTTTCTAACAGATAGTGCTCAGAATCTCAAGCACACACTCGATCACGACTCAGACCAGCCGGAAACACAATGTTCTCACCTGCATGGATCTTAGTGTATGATGCTGGAAATTAAAATTAAACCCAAATGAAAAGTCATACACGCAATATATACAAAAATATGTCCATGTTACGCACACAATGACACTTTAAAAACTGTACAAAAATTAAGTAGGCTGCCAAGAACAAAAAGTAATACATATTACCATGTTTTTTTTACCCTGGTAATAATGTTTTTTTTCTCTCTCTCTCTCTCTTTTGTGTATGTACCATATAATACCATGTTTGTATTGGACATGCACCATGGTAGTGCAATGTACTTACATTTATTTATTTTTTGAACATATACCATGGTACAGTCAGGTTTTTTGTTTTTTTACATTTACCATAGTAACACCATGTTTTGGACATGTACTGTACCATTAGGATACATACCATTGCAGTGTTGGGGTTCACTAACTAAAATTAGCAACTACTACTTAAAGGTGTAGTTCCCCAAAAATAAAAATTCTTCATCAGTGACTGACCCTCATGTTCTTCAAAACCTGTGGGGTCCAAATAGCACTAGACCTTATTGACTTTCATTGTATGGACAAAAATACTGGCATGTTTTTCAAAATATCTCCAAGTATTCAAGTAAACATTTAAATATACAATTTCAGTCACGTTTTTCTGTGACAAATTGCTTTAGTTCTTCTATTGTGAGTCGTTTTGGATAAAAGTGTCTGCTAGATGCATAAATATAAACGTTGTCAGTTCATTCCCTGGGAATCGAACCCATGACCTTGGTGTTGCTAGCGTCATGCTTTATTTGTGCTACAATAATGGGAGAATGCAAAACTTTGATTTAGCTTCATTGTAAATTACAAGGTATAATTCACAAATCTTTTTTTTTTTATTTAGAAATTAAGAATTGAGATGTGAAAGCTGTCCACAGAGTCAGCAAAAGCTGTTATTATTTTAGTAACGACTTGATTTACTTGATATTTTAGTAACGACAAAATGATTTACAGCCTACATCACTCTTTGATTATCACATAATGGGTGTGAATTGCATGTGCAAATCAGTTTGTCAGTTTGGTTTGTGTAATTAATATGGTTTAAAATTGATTGATTGAATAATTTATTAATTTGATTGATTGATTCAACTGTAATATACTGTATATATACAGTTGTGCTCAAAATTATTCATACCCTTGGTAAATATGATCAAAGAAGGCTGTGAAAATTGTGAAAAAAAAATTGAAAATCTGTATCATCAATCCTTTAGATATTTTATTTAAAAAATTTACCAAAATCTAACCTGTCATTGGAGAATACGAATTTTAAACGGGAGAGAAATCTCATTATGAAAAAATGTTTTTCTCTAATACACATTGGTCACAATTAATCATACCCTTTTATCCAATACTTTTTGCAACCTCCTTTTGCCAAGAGAACAGCTCTGAGTCTTCACCTATAATGCCTGAAGAGTCTAGAGAACATCTGACAGCAGATCAGAGACCATTCCTTCATCCAGAATCTCTCCAGACCCTTCAGATTTCCAGCTGCATGTTGGTGCTTCTCCTCTTCAGTTCAAAACACTCATTTTCTATAGGGTTCAGTTCAGGGAACTGGGTTGGCCAGGGCACAAGCTTGGTTTTGTTCTCAGTGACCCATTTTTGTGTTGTTTTTAAGGTTTGTGTTTGGATCGTTGTCCGGTTGGAAGATCCAACCATGGCCCATTATAAGATTTCTAGCATGGACAGTCAGTTTTACATTTTTTATCCATTGGTATTTTATAGAATCCACTATGTCCATCTATCTGAACAAGATATCCAGCATCTCCGTGTGTGTGTGTGTGTGTGTACACTTTATTTATGATTAATTTTAAATAATTTATTAATTAAATATTTATTCAATTAATATTTATTATTAATAATATTATATATAAAATATTAATATATTATATTATTATTATCTCCGGCAGAAAAATAGGCCCACAACATTAAAGATCCAGCAGTACATTTCATTGGGGTACTTTATTATCCCTGTGTGCACCAAACCCATCTTGAGTGTTTGCTGCTAAAAAGCTATTTTTTTTTTGTTTCATCTGACCATTGAACCCAGTCCCATTTAAAGTTCCAGTCGTGGATAGCAAATAAATATGCTAATACAATAATAAATATGGAGTTTGTTTTTGGATGAGAGCGTTTTCTTTTCTAGTTTTTTCTTGAAACCCTCCCAAACAACATTGTTTTGTTTTTAGGCTTTCTGACCCCAAGACTCAACTATTTTCTGCAGTTCTATTAGAGAAAAATATTTATTTCATAATGTGATTTTCCCCCACTTTCACTTTTTTTTTACTTTAAATGTTAGATTTTTTTTTAAAGTTTTGAATGAAAGACCAAGTGGATAAACAATGCAGATTATTATATTATTATTAACATATTATTATTATATATTTTAGTTTTATATCCAATTTCTATAACATTTTTAATTAAATCATATATTATATAGTTAATCTTTATTAACTACTTCTGGTTAGTAGATTGTCATGTAACCATTTTTGTTTTGTTTTAATGGTAACTCAACTATAGTTTGTGTTTTTAATTACGAGCATGTAACTCAAACTGTAGAGCAATGTAAGTCGCTTTGGATAGTAGTGCATATTCATAATGCAAAAATAACGAGTACAATGTATTCTTTTTTTAAATACAGGTAATTCCATGGTATTCTTTGACATAGATTGGTGTACTTTGCAAATACTATGGTACATTAATAAAGTGATCATACAGTACCATGTCAAATATTACAATATCATGATATTATCTTCTGATTACCTCACTGTACCATGGCACCGCCTCTCTACTCTTTCACTGTACAAGAGGCTGCTCGATTTTCCTTTCTAGGAAACTTCCTAGAGCATCCAAGCCATATATATGACACGACTTTGCTTGAGAACACGGGTCGTAGCTACATCAGTGCTAGCCAATCATATTGTGGTTATTAGTATTCAGTGCACACAAGAGGGGGTTTCCTGGATGCTGTATCCATTAGTGCTGTGGTGCAGTGCAGTGTTTCCCACCGTTTCAGCTGTTGGGTGTCAAGGCAACGTTTGGCTTTGAGTTCTGATCGGGGATACCAGTCATACACACGCTGAACTGTGCGCTGATATTGTCTGTAACAGAAACTGAGCCGGATTTGATGCGTTATTCCTTCCAAAGTGATACGTTGCAGCTTCTCTGCTTTATTTCTGTCTCCGTTGTTCTCGCTCTGTATTTTGCATCTCTTTCATTCTTCCTCTCTCTTTCTCATGCTCCTCTATCGGTCCACAGAAGAGAGTGGGACGGGCCGCTCTCCCGCTTGTTTCCATGGATACCGTGCGTGCGTGTGCGAGGATGCGTATGCGCATGTGTTTCCCTTTTTGTTCAGCACATTCCTCAGAATGGTGCTGGTGTTTCTGGGATTCAGGAAAGATCATGGACTCTATGAGTGTGTGTGTGTGTTTTTGGATGAGAGCGTTTTCTTTTCTAGTTTTTTCTTGAAACCCTCCCAAACAACATTGTTTTGTTTTTAGGCTTTCTGACCCCAAGACTCAACTATTTTCTGCAGTTCTATTAGAGAAAAATATTTATTTCATAATGTGATTTTCCCCCACTTTCACTTTTTTTTTACTTTAAATGTTAGATTTTTTTTTAAAGTTTTGAATGAAAGACGCACATTCCTCAGAATGGTGCTGGTGTTTCTGGGATTCAGGAAAGATCATGGACTCTATGAGTGTGTGTGTGTGTGTGTGTGTGTGTGGAGGTTTTTGCAGTGTGTATAGTCACTTCAGCAGCCTGTTTGCCATTTGATGGAATTGTGATTAACTGCCAATAATTAAGCCTATGATTGTATGTGTGTGTGTGTGTGTGTGTGTGTGGGTGGGTGGGTGGCTGCTAACAGGAGTGGGTGGCGATCAGCTCCGCTCCACTCAAATCCTCTGTAATACTGTGAATCTCCACCGTAATGAAGCAGATGATGCAGGCTGTTCTCTCCTCTCTGTGCATTTATATTTAGATGAACAAAAACCTGATGACACATCGGGCCAATGATCGTGACATCTGCCCTTACCCCGGCTCTTCTTAATGACTCAGCAGATAAT